GTAACAATCCAGGGGCAGAGCCTCAAGAAAAAGAATCAACGAATGCAAGGCAGGGCAAAGAAAGGAGTGTGATAAACCATAAGCAAAGGATCACTGGTGTGCCAAGGATGGAGCTAACACTTTTCCTGGAGGATTCAGAAGAGGGAGGAAATGGCATGTGTTCTGTTTAAAAATAGGATAAGATTGACAGGTGGAGGAGGGAAATTAAGTCATTCTGCAGAGAAAACTATGCAAAAAGCAGATAACTTAAAAGGGCATGGCCACCCTCTCCGTTCTGTTTACATTCTTGTCCTAGGGATGTCATCCAGTCCTGTGGCATCAAATACCATTTAAGTGGACATCTCCTTAATTTAGGCCTCCAGCACTGAATTTTCCCCTGAGCCACCCATTTGTACCTCCAGATGTTTGTGTCATCTCTCCACTTAGAGGTTTTATAGGCATGTCAAGTGTGATATGTTCAAAACTGAGCTCTTGATTGTCTTCCTTTCCCAAACCTGTTATTCTTCCAAACTCCTGGTACCACTATCCAACCAGTTACTCAAGCAAAAACCTAGGAATTGTGCTTGATTCCTCTTCCCTCCAATCTTCACATTGAATCCCTCAGTAAGCACTCTGATTCCACTCAAAAGCACACTTCACATAGAAACACTTCACTCTGTTTCCTGAGTCTGACTGATCACCTTTGCCTTATCCTTCTATCTTGTCTCCTTTGTTTTCCTTAGCTCCTCTACTATCTTGCTCCACATAATAGTCAGAGTTTTATATTTATTTATTTTTACTTTTATTTTTATTTTTTGAGACAGTGTTTCCCTGTTGCCCAGGCTAGAGTGCCGTGGCATCTGCCTAGCTCACAGTAACATCAAACTCCTGGGCTCGAGCAATCCTCCTGCCTCAGCCTCCCAACTAACTGAAACTACAGGCCTGTGCCACCATGCCCAGCTAATTTGTTCTATTATAAGTTGTCTGTCTAATTTCTTTCTATTTTTAGTAGAGACGGGGGTCTCGCTCTTGCTGAAGCTGGTCTTGAGCTCCTGACCTTAAGGGATCCTCCCACCTCGGCATCTCAGAGTGCTAGGATTACAGGTATGAGCCACCATGCCTGGCCAGAGCTCTATTTTTAAAATGTAAGTCAGATCATGTCACTACTTGCTTTAATCTCTTCAATGGTTCTTCCTTGTTTCCAGAACTAAATCCTGCCCTAATCATCTAGCCCCGTGAAGCTCTCCAATCTCACCTCTAGTCTTAACTCACATCACCTACTCCAGCTGCCCTGGACTCCCTCTTCCCAATTTCCAACAGATGCAAGGTCTTTCCCAACCAGTGCTGTTGCCCTTACCACTCCCTCTTCTTGAAGTACTCCCCTCCATCTCTGCCCATGGGTATTTTACTCTCATCTTGCATGTTTTCATCCAAATATTCTATTTAAGACATTTTAAATATACCTTCTAATAACTCTACCCAAATTTTTCTAAATCATCACTCTACTTATTTATTTCTTAGAAGTTAATCAACATGTAATATCCTACTCATTCATTTATTCTTTACTGTCTCTCTTCTGTTCTGGAAAGTCCCAGTTCCATGAGGCAGAGGCCTATTTCTCTTTAAGCACCATATCCCAAGTACCTAGCACAGTCTCTGGCTTCAAGCATGTGCTGAAATATTTGTTGAACAAGTGAATGCCAAAGTCAGTAGTGTTTTAATACTACAGCTAAGGATTAATAGAATCAAATACACAGAGACATCAAGTAAAATAAGGATAGAAAAGCATATTTGGTTTAATTCTTTGGAAGTCACTGGTGAGAACAGTGAATTTGGAGTGGAAGGCAGAAGTAGAAATAACCTGAGTGAGGAGTAAAATAGGAGATGCAAAGATGGAGGAAAACAAGTATTCTAAAATGCTTGGCTAAAAAAGAACAATGAAGGGTGTGGTGCTACAGTCTTTGGGGTCTAAAATATTTAAGACAGTTTTTATCGGAGAGATTTGTGTTTAATTCCGTGTGAAGAAAAGGAGCTGTAAAGACAAGAGGTTAAACAAGGAAAAAAGGGGGTAGATACAGAGTAAGGTTATGGAGAAGGTAGAATTGGGAATGGGATCTGCAGCCCAGGTGAAGCATAAGCCTCAAACAGAAGGAAGGACACTCTTCCTCTGATGGGCAGTACAGCAAGAAAGGTACCTTTTAGAGCTCCTATTCCCTCTGATGAAAGTGAGGAAGTAGAGGCAGGTGTGGAGCTGAACTTAGTAAACAGATTTTGGAATACCACTATGAGAAATTGAGAGACATTGACCAGAGATTCATAAAAGAAATGCTGATCATCATTGAAGGGTCCATTGAAATCAAACACTTGGTATCAGTTCCTACAATTGTGCGTCAATCAAATGGTTATTTAGTACATGCTATATTCTGGACACTTTAGTTGAATAAATCACAATTTCTGCAGCCTAGTGGGAGAGAAGAAAAGTGTACTAATTAGCAAAGCATTGTGATGAGGGCTATGCCAGAGGAATAATATTATACGTCCAGAGCCCAGAGAATAATGGGAAGGGGGAGGGGTGGGTTCTGGTCACAGAGTCTATTGCTATAATTCAAAATTTCAGAGCTGGAACTGTTTTCAATGATAATAGAATCCTGGAGGAGAGGGTGGCTTCCTAGAATGAAGGAAGTCAGAATTGAGAGAACAACAGGCTGAAAGGGCATTCAAATGCCAAAATTGGCTAGGAAGGTGAAAGCAGCTATGTTGGAGAAGGCTGTGATTTGGATACCTGAATTCTTGATGTGTATTTTAGAGTGACCTAGAAATGCACCCATGCCAGTGAAAAGGACAGGTAGAGGGTGATATATCCAGATGGTGGAAACATCAGAAGGAAAAAGAATTGCACCTGAGAAGGATATGATAGTGGTCTGAAAGTAGCAGTTAACAACAAGGAACATGCCCAACCATTCCCCAGTCCCATGGCACACATGGGGCATCAGAGTATGAGCATCCTTCATTCAAGAAAATTTCAGTGAAAATAAGGATGTAGTGTTCTGAAGGTTGAAAATGTAGGGGATTTTATGTCCGATGACACAGAGGTTCCAGGGGGCTCAGCAGAAAGCGCTGGGAGGGACCAAAGGAGTTGAGAGAGAGAGAACATGCTATAGCAATGGCTGAGGGTACCAGAGAGTCAAAGATGGAAATAATTGGTCTGGAGATTCTAAAAAGCTCCAGGTGTTACATACTTCTAGGGCCTGCACAAGACAGTGCAACAAGTGGGGTCAGAGATCTGAGGATACCAGCAACCTGGGGGCTCTCTGCTTGTGATCAAGGAATCGTCTGCAAAAGGGCCACTGATTTGCCACCAAGGCCAATGCTGGGAGTAAGCAAATATTATTGGTCTGTTGAAACCCAGAGAAAAATGTTCTTTAATTCAGTATCTGTTCTTTTTTAAAATTTAGTTTTGAAGTAGCTTTATTTTTTCTGATTATGAAAGAAATACATATTCATTGCAAAAATAAGGTGATGTAGAAAACTATAAAGACTAAAATGAAGATCGTTTATAATCCCCAGATGGAGATGATATAATCACTGCTAACATTTCCATATCTGGTGTCAATAGAATTCCCTGGCAGTTATCATTTAGGACGACAGAATATTCCTTCTCAGTCAGTTTTCTTTCTCTCCTGCTCCTACCCTTTCTCTCACTCTCCATCTTTGGTGCTGGTGCCTCTAGCTTCACCTCAGTTCTCCCTAAATTCAGATCTCGGTCAACTCTGGAAGTGGATACCACTGTAACTTGAGCTCATCCAGTTATTCATTAAGCATTGAGCAGATGTTGCTGTTGTGGCTGCAGAGTTGCTATGGCTGTGGCCATGGTGCTTGGGCTGCTTCTTTTGGTTCTCCCGGGAATCAGAGACCATGTTGCTAGGGCAAGTCAGGAAACCACTTAGCTTTTCATTTCCACTGCTCTCAGAAGAGGAACTGCCTCGCTGGGGGTGAGGCTAGCCAGCATCTACAACAGACTCTCTGCTGCCAGTTACTCACTAGTGCTCACCATTGAAGTACTCTGTTTTTCACCAGCAAGATCCAGTCTCTTGACCCAAACACAACATGGCAGGCTAAAGTGGTAGAATGGCCCTCTGTCAAACATTAACTTCAATTGTTTCATCACATTGGGAAATCCTGGATAATGGTTTCAGCCCCTTGAAAGTAGCACATATGTACTTCTACATATGTTTTCTTATTCTGCTTCCATTTCCAGAAAAGGGAAGTAAAGCAGGCCTAGTAAGAACAATGCTTTCACCTTTGGGACAAAACTCCCAAACAGCTAAATATTAATACTAAAGGGTAAGGCAAAGGCAGTGGCCGAAAGGCTGATTAGATAGTCTGTAACTATCCCAGCAAAACAAAAACAATGCTTTCACCTTTTCACCATTTTCACCTTGAAACGCTTGACCTTTATTTTGCCACATAAGTCAGAACTACTATATACCACAACCCTGCTAATTTACTCTTTTCCTCCTTCCTCCCACCTATCTCCTGCCACTTTCCCAGAAGCATAAAGCTTTCAACATCCTGCTGTCCATTAGCATAAATAAACTCATGCTTTTAAAGTAAAAATAGTTTTAATGCTATATTTATTAAGGACTGCATTACCATAAGAGGATAAAAATATACTTGAGTAACAGGTAGATCATATACTTTAGAGACGATAGCATGCTTTTATTGTGGCTCCCTGAAAGTCAATTATTTTAGCCATAGATTAAAATCTTAGGTCTTAGCACAAGTTATATTTCCACTTCGGGAATTGTTAAACCATGCAGTTTCTCAGAACATGCACTTTTGTGTTTTAATTTGTTTTTTCTGTTGCCAATATATTATATGCATATCTAAGAAACAAAAAAGATGAAATTCCATTTAAATTCAATCTTTGTCACATGAACCAATGGATAATGTTATAGCCTCCCCCCTCATTTTTACATATCTGTTGTTAATTTAAATTTTATGTAACATTTATACAACAGATAAGAAAATACTGGGCTAAGAAAGAACAGAAGTGGCAAGAAATGGAAATGAGAGATCTTCAGCGTCTAGAAGAACTGAAGAAATTAATGACTGAACAATCGGTAAAAGACAGAGAAAGGTAAAAGACAATTTTAAATTGTGTGGCAATGGAGGTGGAGAATGAAGTCTTCGGTAATGTGTCAAGATAAATAATATTGGACTGAGCGTTTTTCTATACTTAATGTATTCTTTTAATATTTATATTCACAAATGGATAAAATGATATCTATAATGTATTTTAAACTCTCATATTCACACATGAACCTCTAGTTTTCCATTTTATTCCTTAGATAGCTCCTTAGTTAAATCCCTCAGAGGATTTTATAGTATTTAATTACCCACTGTGTGCGTGAAATGGTACTGGCAGCTGCTGTGACTTTATATTTTGACCCACAAGGGGGAAACCATTATTCCAATAAGAAGAGAGACCCATTTACTGTGACCAAGGCTGGGAAAGACAATACACAATTATACAGTGCTGTGTGGTATTCATTATACTATACTTAGGGTATACGCCATATGTGGAAAAATCCTGAATTTCCTAGAATTATGTAATTTTAGAGCTAAAAGGAACATTTGAGGTCAAGCAGCCCAGTCTCCTCATTTTTTGTATGCGTACACTAAGAGATTAAAATTATTTTTCCAAAGTTACAGTATCAATTAGGAGCAATCAGGAAACAACAACACAGCAACACAGTTTGCAAGACAATCATTTTATACAACAATGCTCACTTGTACCTAGGAAGCTTCCTTTCAGACCCATATGACAGTTATCTCAAACTCTATCACTGAGGCCACTGATTCACTGAGGATGAATCTGGAGTTCCAAATAGATGCTACACATTCCTAAGGATTTTCTGGGTGAAATTCACATTGTTTTTCAGGTAGCTCAGGACAGATCAATTCCTAAGTGGATACCAGAAGACAGGCCAGGGGGTCTAAAACAAGGATTTAGAAAAAACTCCCAAACAGCTAAATATTAATACTAAAGGGCAAGGCAAAGGCAGTGGCCAAAAGGCTGATTAGATAGTCTATAACTATCCCAGCAAAACATAGGAGAGCCACAGGATTTAAAAGGAATGGGAAAAACAGAACAGATGTATGGTCCCTGCATTAGGAGACATGCTTCCAATAAAATCACACCTGACAGCCAGGGAGCTTCTTTGCTTACAGAGTCATTTCAGTCTTTTGCTTCCTTTCCCAATAATTATCAAGATTAGCTGACTCAGAACTTCAGTTGAAAAAAAAAAAGAAAAGGAAAATCAGATTAATCTGCATTACATAGCAGGAGAAAAATAGGCATATTACAAGATAGCAAAAAGAGTACAAAGGACTGGAATCCAGGAAACCAAGTTTAATATTAATTCGTCTTTGAATAGACCTTGGGAAAGTCTGTCATTTAACCTACACGAGGCTGTATTTTATCCTCTGTAAAATCAAAACGGATAACTTCCGAGGGCTGAGTTGATCAACTTTTAAGGGTCTGTGATCTGTATGTTCAACTCTTATGTTGAAGTGCTGTAGATTGAGATAATTTATGGATCTAATGTGTGTATGCCCAGGTGAAATCAGTGAAGAAGGCCTTTAAAATATCAGGATATATAAGAGAAATAATTCTCAGAAAATTTTTGATGATATTTGTAGATAGAAGCATTTAGGGAAATGGAGTTCAACTTGTAAAAATTACTGGTAACTTTTGCTTTTGATAACAACCAGAAGTCGTATTCTTTTGTAACTATATGGTGCTAAGAAATTTGGTTGATTTATTAAAATGTTTTCGGTACAATGAAATGCAATTCACAAAACTTGCATTTGATATGTTAACTGTAGGCACGTTTTCTTCACGTTAGAATAAGAAGACTTAAAACAGTTTCCAGATTTGTCTTCACAAAGACACATAACCCTGAGGGTTTGAAAACTTCTGTTGTTTACTTCCTTTTTTCTTTTTTTAAATTCTAAGATTATGTTTCTTGAAAACAATACTTCTAAATAAACTGATATATTAGGTTGAGCCATATGAAAATGCCATTTTTGTAGGTCAAAAATAATTGAGTATTTGCAATTTCATGTGTTTAAACATAATAAGATATAGCAATTTGTTTTTTCTTTTTATTTCAAAGTATTATGGGGGTACAAATGTTTTTGGTTACATGAATTTTTTTTATAGTGCTTGAGACAGGATTAAAAGTGTGCCTGTCACCTAGACAGTGTTCACTGTACCAGTTAGATAAGTTTTCGCCCATCCCCTCCATCCTCCTCAACCCCTGCATGATTTCCTTTGACATTTACTTCCCTCTATGCATGTTTATGCTTATCAGTTAGTTCCAATATAATAGTGAGTACATGTAGTATTTGTTTTTCCATTCTTGAGATACTTCACTTAGGATAATAGTCTCTAGTTCCATCCAAACTCTTGCAAAAAGCATTAAGTCATCCTTCTTCATGACTGAGTGGTATTCCATGGTATACATATACCACATTTTGTTAATCCACTAATGAACTGATGGGCTCCTGGGTTGATTCCACATCTTTGGAATTGTGAATTTTGCTGCAACGAACATTCAAATACAGGTGTCTCTTTGATAAAATGACTTCTTTTCCTTTGGGTAAATACTAAGTAGTGGGATTGCTGGATCAAATGGTAGGTTGACATTTAGTTCTTTGAGGAATCTCCATACTGTTTTCCAAAGAGGTTGTACTAATTTACAGTCCCACCAACAGTGTATAAGCATTCCTTTCTCCCTGCATCAATGCCAGCATCTATTGTTTTGGGACTCTTTAGTAAAAGCCATTCTAAGACCAGTAAGATGATATCTCATTACGGTTTTGATTTGCATTTCCCTGATGATTAGTGACATTCAGCAGTTTTTCATACGTTTATTGGCCATTTGTCTATCTTCTTTTGAAAAGCTTCTGTTCTTGTCTATTGCCTACTTTTTAGTGGGGTTCTTTGATTTTTTCTTCCTGATTTGCTTGAGTTCTTTGTCGATTATGGTTATTAGTTCTTTATTGGATGTATACCTTGTGAATATTTTTCTCCCATTCTGTTGGTTATCTATTTGCTCTCTTAATTATTTCCTTGACTGTGTAGAAGCTTTTTAATTCAATCAAATCCAATTTATTTGTTTATTTTTGTGGTTTCTGTGATTGTCATTGGGGTGCCATCGTGAGTGGTGAGAGATATGGGTCCTGTTTTGTTCTTCTGCATGTGGCTATCCAGTTTCCCTCGTGCCGTCCATTGAATAGGTATTCTTTTTTCCCCTGTGTATATTGTCATCTGCTTTCCAAAGATCAGTTGGCTATATGTAAACGGTTTTATACCTGGGGTTTCTGTCCTGCTTCATTGGTCTGTCTCTATTTTTGTGTCAGTACCATGCTGTTTTGGTTACTATAGTTGTAACCAATCACAGTAGTATGGTTTGAAATCTGGTAATATGAAACCTCTCAATTTGTTCCTTTTGCTTTAGATTACTTTGTCTATTTGGGCTCTTTTCTGGTTCTACACAAAGCATAGAATTCTTTTTTCTAGATCTGTGAAATATGACATTGGTATTTTTATGGGGATTGCATTGAACTGTAAATCACTTTGGGTAGTATGGACATTTTAACAATGTTGATTGTACTAATCCATGAGCATGATATATTTTTCCACTTGTTTGTATCATCTGTAATTTCTTAGTAGTTCTCTTTGTAGAGATATTTCACCTTCTTGGTTAAATATATTCTTAGGTATTTCATTTTCCTTGTAGCGATTGTGAATGGTATTGAATCTTTGATTGGATTCTCAGCTTGACTGTTATTGGTGTATAGGAATGCTACTGATTTGTGTATATTGATTTTGTAAACTGAGACTTTGCTGACTTTATTTATGAAATCCAGGAGTCTCCTGGTGGAATCTTTGGGGTTTTCTAGATATAAGATCATATCATCTGTAAAAAGCAATAGTTTGACCTCCTCTTTCACAATTAGAATATCCTTAATTTGTTTCTCTTGCCTGATTGCTCTAGGTAGGACTTCTAGCACTATGTTGACTAGAAGTGGTGACAATGGACATTCTTGTTTTGGTCTAGTTCTTAGTGGAACTTGGTGGGAATGCTGTCAATTTTTCCCCATTCAGTATGATGTGGGCTGTGGGTTTGGCATATATGGCTTTTATAATTTTGTGATATGTTCCTTCTATGCCTAGTTTGTTGAGGGTTTTTATCATGAAAGCATGCTGAATTTTGTTGAATTCTTTTTCTGCAGCTATTTAGATGATCATATGATCTTTGTTTATTCTTCTGATTACATGGTGAATCGCAGTTATTGACTTACATATGTTGAATCATCCTTGTATCCCTGGGATGAAGCCCACTGGTGTGGTGGAATTTTTTTTGATATGCTGTTGAATTCGGTTTGCTAGTATTTTTT